GTGAGTCACAAATGTCTTGGATGGTCTATTCTTCACAGCAAGTCAAACAGTTTGTCAGATAATTCCATTAAAAGGCAAAAAAAAGGCACAAACCCTCTGTAAAAGTCCAGTTCATTGATTAATTAGCAGCCATGAGGCTCAGGAGAAAACAACTGGCAACAACTCCTCACCAATTAAAACCACTGAGCTGCCCTCATACAGTTTTTATAACTGGGGGAAACTGTGCCCTGAGACCACAGCTGGTTGTAAACATATTCCTGCTTTAAAGTTGGGCATTTTAACATGGGAGTCTGTGGGGACTGACTGCCTTTTGGCATTTGCCTCAAGTGGCCATTAGAGGAACTGCAGTTGTTGGTGCTGGCTTATTTTGCAAAGCAATTTTGATTTAGGTTTTTCTCTTTGAACTTATTTACACACTAGAGATGCAACAGAAACACTCAGGGACATTCAGCAAAGATACAGGTGACAGACTGGGGACTCAATGATATGAACATTTTGGCCCAGCTATTTCTGACCATCAGGTCACTTTGTCATGTCTTTGGTGGTTTCCTTCAGTTAAATGAACTCCTCTTTATAGGCAGAGCCAGCCAGTCTTATATGCAGTTATATAAGGAGGTAAGGCAGAAAATAGACCTGACTCTTTCGATATGCAGTTAAAAAAAACTAAATGAGACTGACTGGGATGTTTCAGCTGTTTAACCAGATTATTTGGCCCATATATGAAAAAAAGAGAGAACCAGGAGGGGAGTGAAAGATGGAAACGCTGACTCACTTAAAGTTGGTGTTGTTGGCTGAAGGGAGTTTCTCACAGGCATTGAACAGAGCCTGCAGGCGCTTGTCTTGATCTTGAATGCTGCAGGACGACATGAAAGATTGGTTGTAAAACAACAGTAGAAGAAGAAATGTCTTTAACATGAAAATGGCAACATTGGTCTGAGATGATACACACTTTGAGGCTTGGATCCAGTCATTGTAGAGTTCAAAGGTCATTAATGGTTCAGGGAGCTCGCGCAGGTAGGACTTCAAAGCACCTGGAGAGAGCACAGCAAGAACCATGGTAAATACATGTCTGTACCCGTGTATTTCAGCACATAGAAGCAACTGTAGAAGGAAAGAAAGAAAGGGAGAAAGATGGAAACAAAACAAGAAAATAGAGAAGCAAAGAGGAAAAGCGGGAAAGAAAGTAAAAGGAAGCAAGTAAGGAAAGAAGATAGCAAACAGGCAAGGAAGGAAATGAAGAAAGTAAAGACGTTTATCAAGAAATAAACAAAGAAACAGAAACAAAGATGATAAACGTTTTGAAGCAACCATCTGCTCCATGATTAGTGCTTCAGCGTGGACTCTGTCTGATCCAGCCGAGCCCAGATCTGATCGTATATACTGCATGAGAGTGAGCGTAATTTCCTGCAGCTCACTGCACAATGGCATTAAATCTGCTTTCCCTTGCCTCCATCACTAAAACCTGCTTGTGGTCACGCTTCAAATGTTTAAACGAGGCTTTACAGAGAAATTGAAATATTCAGCAGTGAAAACCATCTCCTACCTGCTATTTTCAGTAAGATTTCAGATTAAATCACTTTATATAGGAGCACATCTTATGTGATGTGTATATATTCAAATTCCAGGCTGAAAGGCCTTCCTTGCCAGCAGTCTCCATTACTCTGGTCCCCATGACAAAAAGCCAGTGGGATTTTCCATAATTACAAACACAAGTATGTTTATTCAGAACAGAAAATCAAAGTCAAATGATTGTTTTCATGACTAAAAAAAGTTTATGTGCCTGTGAAAAGTCTGTCTGTGCACGGTTTGTCCCATTAAGTGCCCAGAAATGAGTCCCACTGGTCTACGCAGCTATCCTGTAAAACTAAACAAATCCACATCGAGCTTCCGTCTGACCAGAGCTGAGTTTTCCTTTACTGATAAGGAAGGACACAGCTGACGTGTCGTCTTCTCTCTTTGGCCTGCCGCTTCCATTCCTCAGAGGGATGGACGACAAACAGCTGTGTATACATATGCATATACATATAGGTGGTGCACTGATGGTGCAAAATAAATGCCTGCGGTTACACTGAACCAGGGCTTCCACCTCCTCCTCCACAGTGGGACGAATTAAATTTGCTGGTGGAGCTGACCCAGATTAATATGGGACCATTAAAGGGGAATACAGCGCAGAATAGGACATTTTCTCCACATGCTCCAGTGAGCTGTGAGTTAAATTGAGATTTAATGCTGCATTATTCTGCACTGGTTGAAAATGACTCTTTTTTTCTGACTTTCATACTCGGCTGAGAAATTAAAATCTTCACTGTGCATCAGAGAGGTTTTCAGTTTGTTTGTAAAAGCAAAGATTTAATAGTTTGGTCATGAAACAATTAAGACACATTTTTCCAACAGTAGTACGACGGCTAGGCGATCAAAAACAGAAAAAACAAACAGAGGACTTAAATGATCTGGCTTATATAAAAAATAAATCAAAATAAAATAAATATATTCTGTTGCAAAAAAACAACCCAAAAACACAAGGACATCCGTAGAGTACGGCAGTTTCCTCAGCAAAGAAAACCAAAGAAGCCACTGAACATAAAACAAATGTTTTTGAAAACACACTGACGAATAATTTACTACAAATGCTGCAGATGATTATAACTGAGAGCCTCGTCATTTTAGAAATAAAAGAAAGATTACTAGCGAGACACCTCTCTGTGCTGAAAGGATGCTTACCATTAACTTTTATTTTTCGATAGAAAAACAGTCGGTGTGATGATTTTAAGAAAAATGCACTTGTTTTTAAGATAAAAATATTTTCCACAGCTCGTAAAAAGCTTTTCATTTGGAGATGTATGGTTTTCATCTGACGACAGCAATATGCTGCTGCAGTAAAAAAAAAAAAAGATCAATAACAGCGTCATAAAAGCTTGAAAGCTTTTCTTTCTTTTGTAGTTTGTCACAGTGCAGATTTAAAAGCGAATACGTGACAGAAACAAAAAGACGTTTTTTGTTGCATCCTCTCCAGAAGATGAAGAATCTGTCTGACACTAATCCCAGTTATATTTGGAATTTATCACTGGGCATTTCTTGGATAGTTTGTGGAAGAAAAACACTTTGCTTTGTCTGCAGACACGCGAGCAGTGACCACAGAATCCTAATCAAGCCTAAAGTTCCTGTGTCACACCAGCGTAAGGCTTTCATAATAACCTTTAAGAGGAAATTTACTGCAAACAGCAGCAGGAGAAACAAAGACAGGCAGCGGAAGGGATTAAAAATGTTTCTTTGATGCGAGCAGCCTGATTATGATTATATTCATTCATTGACAACAGGAGGGTAGCTCAGCATAAGGAAAATAACAGAAATGTACAAAAACTAGACTCCAACAAGCCAACGGGGGGCCAACTCATAAATCTACCCCTGTGAGGCAAATTTCAATGGATGATCAGTTGTCATGGGAACAGATGATGTACAACCAGGAGGCAGGGAGAAGGTCTAGGTATGTGGCAGTGTTGTTGATAGCTCACCTGCGATGGCGTGTGGGTCTGCGGAGTATTCTTGAACGTCTAAAACCCCGCAGTCCAGAGACGCCTTCAGCTTTTTGAGTTTGGAGGCCGAGGGAGCGATTCTGAACAAACCCTGAGACACAGAAACGAAGCCAAGGTCACTTAACTTCAACAGCAGGAGAATTACACAGGCTGAATTTATTATGTGTTGTAAATGCCAAATGCTAAATTAAAAGTCCAGCTTTCAGAATTAAAGGTGTCATTTCCCATTTCATCCATCCATCTATGCTCTACTTCTTATCTGAGTCACAGGGCAGCACTCAGAGCAGTAAAGGCTTCTTCCATTTGATACTGACGTCCTCCTAAAACACCCTGGTGCAGGGTGGTTGACCCATAGTTTTGAGTTTTGGGCTTCTAAGTTCTGTTCTGTAGTCACTTCATGTTGTTTCTTAGTTGTCGTGTTTTTCTGCTTTGTTCCAATTACTTTTATATCTACGCTTGTCCTCCGTTCAGTTTACTCTGCCTCCCTGCTGTTCCTTGTGTATTGTTAAGTATTCGTCTGTTCCTCTGTTTAGTTATTTCCTGTTTTATTTTGGTAGCCTTTGTCTTGTGCATTGGTATTTTGCTGTGCTTTTCCTGTCTAGTTTACCTGATTTGTTGCAGCTGGGCTCCCTGGTATTTCCCATCTCCCTAATTACCTGGTGTGTTTTTAATGTTACTCTCTCTGATGGTTGTGTGTCTCCTTGCCTTGTGTTCACTGAGTTTTTGCGTGTTTTGAATTTCCTGCTCTGCATGTAATTTGGCTTTCCCTGTATTGTAAAATACCAGGATTAAGGATGCATTTGGGTCCAAATCCTGGCTGCTACACAACCAAACCTTGTGCTGGGGCTGCTGCGAGGTCTTCTGACGCTTAGACATGTTTGAAAGACCTTGTCGAGAAGGTGTCCAGGAGGCATATTAGGAAGTTACCTGAATCATCTCAGCTGGTTCCTTTCAATGCTCCTGACCCTAATCTCTAAGGCAGGTTTGAAATGTATGTGTACACACAGGCTTTACCCCTAATACCTGATATGTAATCAATGGGTTACCTGTAGAATTTTTGAGTCACGTTTTCACTTTGTTTTTAGTAGTTTTAATGAAATGTTAAACTAGTCAGGAAGTGACGTGGTTGCTTGTGCACTTTGCCATCAAAACAAAGGAAAAATTGATTGTAGTGATGTGATCACCTCGCTGAACAGGAACAAATATAGTAACCTGCAGCTAGCATGGCTCAGTCAGTTTGTCTTGTGAGTGATTGTCTGTATCGCTTTATTCTCACTTTACTCTCTTTTCTTTCACCCTCACCATCCAGCAGCACATATTTAACCCTCCATGAGCCTGGTACTGCTGGAGGTCTCTTCCAGTTAAAAGTGGGTTCTTCCTTCCCACTTTTGCCAAGTGCTGCTCATTAGGGGATAATTTGATCATTGGGATTCTCTCTGTAATACTCTATTTACCTTACTATAACAAACACCTTGAGGCAGCTGTTGTTGTTAGTTAAATAGCCCTAATCATCTGGCATGTGTGAGTACTGCCCAAGTGACATCCTTAGCACCCTTACAAAGCCAGCCTCTGCAGTTTCTCTTGTTGTTTTGAGTCACCCACCCACAGTTTATGGTCATAGATGAGAACAGGAATGGATATTGACCAGTAAATCCACAGTTTTGCTTTCATGCTCAGCTCTTTGTTCACAACAGCAGATGGATACAATTTCTGCTGCACCAATCCATCTGTCAGTCTCCTGCTCCACTCTCCCTCACAAGACACTGAGATCCACTTGGTGCAGCAGCACTCGGAGTGGGTGCTACATCCTTTTCCAGCTGAGAGAACCATGTACTTGGACTTGGAGGCGTTAAACCTTGTTCCAGCTGCTTCATGTTCGGTTTCATGAAGCCAACAGCGCCACAAATTCTGCAAAAAGCCGATCCTGTAACCACTGAATCAGTCGCATTTCAGACATATGACATTACTCAATTATACCTATGGATGTATTGATGTGTGAGCATTAGTTTAATGTTCCAGCTGATTATTCGTTTCAGGCTTGGCCCCCGATTAGATTTCCCTCTGGTAATTAAGACTGACTTTATCTCCGCGGTGACCTCTGCAACATTTCACACCCATAAATGTGTTTCTTGTGTGTCGTGTGAAAAGCGGCCGGTTTGTTTACCTCCTCCTGCATGCCACACTCCAGCAGCATGGTCACACAGGCCTCGATGGGAAAGGCAATATCTCTCCCGCTGAGCGCTAAGTGCTCCTCTAATGGCTTCCCGTAACACGGTTTCTCCACCCAGGTCTCTGTGAAAACACACACACACAGACACACACTTAGTTATTTACACACAAATGCCCAGATCATTCTGCAGCAGCTCTGCTTTTATGATCTTATGACTGCAGCGATTCAGAGTTTATCAAATCATTTTTTTCCAGACTGCAAAGCGATGCCAAAACAAATGCAAGGTTTTCACTATATGCAATAGTTTCCAACCCGACCATTATAGAGTTATACTGTGAATGCCGTAGTTAACAGAGACAACAGTTATTTGACATATTTTACTGGTAAAATGACAAACTGCGCTAACAAAAACACATTCATGGATAACATGACTCAACTTCTCGGTCATCCACTCTATCAATATAGAAAGATTTAATATCATGTTGCAGAAAACAACACATATCACACACAATTACTGTAATCACATTACATTTTCCTGTTATGTAGTAATCAAGTGCATTACAGTACTAATTTAAGTTATTAAACTACACCTGATAGTCACAATTATGTTGTTACTTGAGTTTTACAAGTTCTTTTCCCTCCATTGAGTCGTTTAAAACCAGACTTTTGATTCTCTCTGATTTGCTCATTTCGTCTCCTGTGACTTTTCAGCCACGACTGTGTATGTTTAGCACCGACTAACATGTAGTTGACTTATTTCTTATCTGTTCTGTGTTTTGTGGAGCATATTTAACAGCAGAAACTACTCTGCTCAAAATAAGTTAGGGAACACTTCATCATCGCATTACAACACAAAGCCAGTTACACTTCAGGGACACCAATCTGTCCACTTAGGAAGAATAAACCACTGTGGACCCATTTCCGCTGCTTTGGTGCAAATCAAAGTGACAGCAGGAAAATTTTCCCTCTTTATCCCTCCTGGCTGATTTTTGTCTAGTTTTTGCTTTTTTGTTAGTTTCTTGTCTCTATGTCTAGGGCTTTTATTGTGAAAGGAAACACATGCATATCATCAAATCAGGTTTCTGCTCCAGATTGGACATTTTGGTTTCTATTAAAGCAAAACACTGTAAAGTGTATCATCAGAAATGTAACAATTAACAATTAAATGTAACAATTTATAAAAATTTAAATTCTTCATGTTTAGTGGTATATGTGAAGTGAATGTGGCGACACTACAACTTCCATCAGGCATGAAATAACTTCAGTTAATGTTATAAAGAAATTCTCAGCAGCGTCAAACCAGAAAACACAATGCAGGTAAACGTGTGATAAAAGCACTTGAAAGGATAAACAAGCACCACTTTCATTTGTACAGCCCGACACATTGTATTTACCCTGTAATATGGACTATAGCAGAGGCAAATGTAAGCAGTTAGAGAGAAAGAATAACAAAATAAGACTGCAGCATGTTGGTCTGAGACTCACCCTGATGAGCTTTGATCTGAGGCAGAACACTCTGAAGCAGCTCTAATGACTTCCTGTGGTACTCTGCCTGGACTTCTATCAGCTAGACAGAGACAGACAGAAAAAGGCAATCTGTAGGGTGTGTTTCTTTTTCTTTTTTGTCTGTTTTAGTCATGCGGCTGTCTAAAGAGACGTGAGTGCACTTACTGTCTGGAAGTAGCTTGCATAGTCAATTTCTTTGGCCACAAAACTGTACATGTCTGCTGATAACTGATCCTGAAAACACATTTTGAAGCATAGAACGCATGAAAAACAAAAAGAGACACAAGGCACGTAACAGTCTGAAAAATGTGTTTTTGCAGTTCAAACTTTTGTCTATTTAGAGCAGGTGTATTATTATTATTATCTTTTGATATACTGTCACATTAAAGAGTTCTTAGAAAGCATGGTAACTCAATTAATGTAGCTGAGAAAGAGCCATTATTAATGCCATTAGATACACTGTCATACAAATCAAAATATATGCTTCAAAAAGTGTCTAAAATAATTATTAATATGATCAAAGTACTCTCATATTTTTGGGAATACCTAAACCCAGAATTTCACACTAATTTATGGCCACTTGAAGCCAGCTAATAGCTAAAAGTGCTCATATCTGTATGTATAGACGTTAGGTTAAAAAAAATCTCTCCTCTTTCTTCTATTTGCTCAAAGTTTGTGTTCTATATTCTTCTGCCGAAAGTGGAAAGTTTGTCTGTTCTCACCTCATATCAGATTCAGTTACACACATTTGTGCAGCGTTAGAATACCAATCAGGTAAAACTGTGCTGAGCCAAAAAAACCCCAAAAACTCTATTTTGGTTTTGTAATTTCATAAATGACAAATTTCACAAAACTTTTGCCTTTCTTGTCTACGAGAGATAACATATCATGGCTTACTAGGATGCCTATAATGACGCGAGTCATTGCTTATTGTAGTAATTACACATGGTTGCCTTGTTTCCTGTATATTGTATACATAATAGGTCAAACGGTCCGTTAAAAGGATGTATATGCACATGCAGGATGTGGAAGCTTGAACACTCTTGGAAGCAAGAATGGGCTGTTTCAGGACATTTATAAATATCCTTGTAGGTTCACTTTACAAAAACATCAACAAAAAAAAGATGACAACAATCTACTTGATACATATAACAACAGCCTAGATAGATAGATAGTAGGGGTGCAACGATACACAAAATTCACGGTTCAGTTCGATACTTTGGTGTCA